GTGTATTTCCTGCTGCCTTCCTATGCAATCATTCATTCCTGTGTTTCTTCCTTGAACAAACATTTATTGAGCACCTCCTACGTACCAGGCACAAGTCTAAGTAGGGGCCATAGATGATTTCAGTACAGTATAATGTGCTGTCTGCTGTGGGAGCACTGGGTACTGTGGGAACCTGGAAGAGGGGTTAGTTCCATAACCTGGGGAGGTCAGCCGAGGCTTCCTGGCAGAGTCGAGAAGCATGGTTAGGAGACAAGTGGGGAAGTGTTCAAGGCAGGGAAAGCAGGAGACGTGCATGACATGTTCTTGGCACCTCACCAGCAAGGTGTGCACTCAAGGTGGTGGCCCGAGCAGGTCACAGTGGGCCTTGAGTCATGTGAAGGAGTTTGGACTTTGTCCTGAAACTTGTGTGCAGAAATGGAAGGATTGTAAGCAACTAGCAAGACTACGTTGTTTGCAGTTTCGCGCATAGATTGGAAACAGCTGTGATAATCCAGGTGCAAAAGGAGGGTTTTCCTTAGGCCACAGCAATGGGACCAGAAGGGAGGCAAAGAGGCCAGAGAGATCTAGCAGTCAGATGGCCGGGCGTGGTGGCTCAGGCCTGTCATCCCAGCACTTTAGGAGGCTGGGCTGGCAGGACTGCTTGAGCCCAGGAATTTGAGATTCGTTTATGCAACACGGTGAGACCCACGTTTCTACAAAAACTTAGGCCGGGCCTGGTGGCTTATGATTGTAATCCCAGCACTTTGGGAGGCTGAGGTGGGCAGATCACCTGAGGTCAGGAGTTCGAGACCAGTCTGACCAACATGGAGAAACCCCATCTTAAAAAAAAAAAAACTCTAAAAAAAAAAAAAAAATTAGCTGGGTGTGTAGTCACAGCTACTCAGGAGGCTGTGATAGGAAGTCTGAGGTGGAGAGGATCTCTTGAGCCCAGGAAGTCAAGGCTGCAGTGAGCTATGATCACACCACTGCATTCCAGCCTGGGTGACAAAGTGAGACCCTGTCTCAATGAATTAAATAAATAAATAAATAAATAAATATTAGAATCTTGAGCTCTTGGAGAGTAATTGGAGGTGGCTAATAAGAGAAAGGGAGGTGGCTGGGCCTGGTGGCTCCCAGCACTTTGGGAGGCCGAGGCAGGTGAATCACCTGAGGTCAGGAGTTCAAGACCAGCCTGGCCAACATGGGGAAACCCCATCTCTACTAAAAGTAGAAAAATTAGCCGAGTGTGTTGGCTGGCACCTATAATCCCAGCTACTTGGGAGGCTGAGGCAGGAGAATAGCTTGAACCCGGGAGGTGGAGGTTGCAGTGAGCTGAGATCACACCACTGAACTCCAGCCTGGGCAACAGAGCGAAACTCCGTCTCATAAAAAAAAAAAAAAAAGAAAGAAAGAAAGAAATTGCATCTGCTCAGAACTTGCAGGCGAGGCATTTCTAGCTGGTTTGGAGAGACTGCGAGATGGGGGCAGATTCTTGTTTCTTGGTAACCGGAAGCTCTCAACTAACTCTGGCGACACCATCAGCAAGTTAGTGTTTGTCAATGAGTGAGGATTTCAACAACCATGGTCAGCTGAGACCTGGCAGGAACCGAGGGACTGGGGACCCCTCCCACCTGGGACCTTCGTTTCCTTCCCTGACTAGCTGCTCCTGTCTTTGCAGTGGATTCTGTTCCAGAATGAGCTGGTGTGGGAGAGGCCCAGATCCCTGGTGTGGCCTAAAGTTTCCAGTGTTCTACAATAAAGTCAACTAGACTGAGGCCACTATGGTCCAGGGACAAGGAGGTGTCCCAATTCAGTATCCTAGAAGAAAACTTTGTCTTAGCTCCAATATTCTCTTCTTCAGAGAAGGATGCCTTGCTTCGCTATTAGGCCTTCTTACTTCTTACTCACTGTCTCTCAGAAGTTTTTTTTTTTTTTTTTGAGACGGAGTTTCGCTCTTGTTAACCCAGGCTGGAGTGCAATGGCACGATCTCGGCTCACCGCAACCTCCTCCTCCTGGGTTCAGGCAATTCTCCTGCCTCAGCCTCCTGAGTAGCTGGGATTACAGGCACACGCCACCATGCCCAGCTAATTTTTTGTATTTTTTTTAGTAGAGACGGGGTTTCACCATGTTGACCAGGCTGGTCTCGATCTCTTGACCTCGTGATCCACCCGCCTCGGCCTCCCAAAGTGCTGGGATTACAGGCTTGAGCCACCGCGCCCGGCCATCAGAAGTTTTTTTTTTTTATGTGTGTCTGTGTGCCTGTGTGTATCTGTCTCTCCTTCTAGAACATAAGCGCCGTAGAAACCCAGACTGGGACTGGGAGCAGTGGCTCACGCCTGTAATCCCAACACTTCAGGTGGCTGAGGCAGGAGGATTATTTGAGTCCAGAAGTTTGAGACCAATGGCGAAACCCATCTCTACAAGAAAAAAAAAAAAAGAACCACACACATACACAAAACACAAAACACAAAAATTACAAACCGCACACACACACACACACACACACACACACACAGACACACAAAACACAAAAATCAGCTAGGAGTGGTGGCTTTCAACTCTAGTCCCAGCTACTTGGGAAGCTGAGGTGGGAGGATTGCTTGAGCCTGGGAGGTTGAGGCTGCAGTGAGCTGTGATCCCACCCGCCCTGGACTCCAGCCTGGGCGACAGAGTGAGACTCTGTCTCAAAAACCAAACCAAAACAAAAATGTAAAGACCTGGACTGGGTCTGTTTTGTCACTTCACGTGTTTCCTGGCTCGTATTTGTCAAATTGATGATTAAATGAATGAATGCTTCCTAAGATCCAGATCCTGGGCCTCAAAGCGAAGGCAGAGCTTCTCGTCTGTTTTTCTATTTTCTTATTTTCTCTTTTAATTATTTTATTTATTTATTTTTTAATCAGGCAGCCTCCCGAGCCAGAGTATGCTCAGAGAAATCCGCTCTCCTTGTCTGTTTATTGAATGTATTTCTGGCTTGCAGAGTGTCCCTTTCAATTCTGCAAAGAGGAGGTGGGGAGGGCAGCATGTGCTCAGAGGTCCCCCCCAACTCCGGGAAACAGACGATAAAATGCTTAAGACAAGGCTGCTTCCCTCAGCGCCCTCGGTGCCCCACCCCCCAGCCCCAATCTTAGCCCCTTGGTCTCCAAAGGCTGAAATGCAATCAGCCCAGGTGGACTCTGGCCGTCAGCTCTATCCTTCTAACTCTGGGCACCAAGCTGGGTGGAATGCATGTCTGTATTTAGTGAGCTGTTTTCCTTCTTCCTCCTGCAAACTTCCCAGCCTTCCTCGATCCTCTTAAACTTGTGTTCACCTTCCTTTTTTTTTAATACTCCCAAGTGCCATTTCTCAGGCTGTAGTTTAACTCATTCTGTCTTAGTCTGAGAGCAACACATTCCTCCTGTGTGCCGGGCTCTGGACCATGCAAGGAGAGGGTGGCACATGCTGGTGAACAAAATATCAACCCCACCCTAGGACACACAGTTGATGGGAGGAAACAGACTTGCCCGTCTATAATTCCAGTGTAGGGAGAAGCCCCATGTGGCTGGAGAACCAAGCCAGGGCTGGGGAAGCAGGTGGCTTTTATGGAGGGGAGCTAAAGGGTCTCAGGCATTCTCCTTTCTGAGAAGGTGAAAGGCACTCAAGGAGGAAATGAGCAGCAAAGGCACAGTCAGAAAGAGCTGGGCATGTGGGGGCAGGAAGCAATAGATGCAGAGCCTGGGAGACAAGCCTGTGAAGGCAGGTGGGGGCTGTTCATGGAGGATCCTGAATGTCAGGTGGAGACTCATCTGAATCCAGTGAGTAATAGAGAGCCATTGAAGGCTTATGAGCTGATGAAATTACAGACTCGGAGCTGTACTTTAGGAAGGTTAATTAGGATCATGGGGGAGGATGCCCTGGGAAAGGAGAGGTAGGGGCAGGGAGACCAGTTAAAGAGTTGCTACTGGCCAGACGTGGTGGCTCATGCCTGTAATCTCAGCACTTTGAGAGGCCAAGGCGGGTGAATCACGAGGTCAGGAGTTCAAGACCAGCCTGGCCAACATGGTGAAACCCTGTCTCTACTAAAAATACAAAAATTAGCTGGGTGCGGTGGCACGCGCCTGTAGTCTCAGCTAATCGGGAGGCTGAGAGACAATTACTTGAACCTGGGAGGCAGGGGTTGCAGTGAGCTGAGAATGCACTACTGCACTCCAGCCTGGATGACAGAGTGAGACTTGATCACGCACACACACACACACAAATACAAAAATTAGCCTGGCATAGTGGTGGGCACCTGTAATCCCAGCTACTCAGGAGGTGGAGGCAGGAGAATTGCCTGAACCCGGGAGGAGGAGGTTGCAGTGAGCCGAGATCCACCACTGCACTCCAGCCTGGATGACAGAGCAAGACTCCATCTCCAAAAAAATAAAAATAAAAATAAAAAAGAGTTATCTTCATGGAGGGTTGTTACCTTAGTGGAGGTTGTAAGAGGGCAGTGCAGTGGGGTGGAAGGAGATGGTGTCCTGGTGTGTTGGCTGGATCTCCTGTTAACTACCCCCGCAGCCAGAGGGTGATCTGCCTTTTCGACTTCTCTTTTTGTTTTCTGTTTTTTCCCAGCTTAAGCAAAGAAAGAAATTCACAGAAACTCCCCCTTCGATTCCCTCCCTCCTCCTGGCCTCCTGGTTCTCTGTTGGCCCCTGTACTCCTCTGCCAGGTATCTGGGGCCTCTCTGCAGGGTCTCCAGCTGGAGGATCTCTCTTCATGCTCCCCACTTTTGGGGGTCAGGAAGCTGTGCCTGGGCAGTGGGTTTGTCAGTCAATTGCAGGAGCACTGATTTATCCTAGAAGTTGCCTAGCACCAAAGGGAGACCCTGCCCTTCCCCAGGGGGACACACTTTGAGAAAGCCTACAAGGCCCACGCTAGTGAACCGACTGAAGATCTGCGGAGGGTTGGAATATTCTCCCAGCTCAGAGAGGATTGGTGAGCCCCGTCTGTCCTATACAGCTGGTAGGTACAGAAAATGGGTCGCCTGGGGTTTTGCTTCAGTCTAGTGCCCTAGACAAGGCACTCAGAGGAGGGAGGGCTGGGATCCGGTTCCGGGCACAGTGCTGAGTCTCCCCTATTTGCGGTGGTGGAGCAGTTCAGCCGGAGAACCCTGGAGTTTTCGAAGGGCGTGGGGAGAGCTGGAGGCTGGAACCCCCCATCCCCGCTCTTATTCCTTGGACCTCTCGGGCCCTCGACAGGTAGCTCGTAGTCACTGGGATGACTACAGCGCTCGCGAAGGGCCAGCGTCCCAGAGGGTTCCCAGGTCTGGTTGGTGACGCATGGGGCTTCCCCTGCTTCATAGGCGAAGCATGCCAGACCCTCCCCGGGGGGGCGGAGCTCCGAGCACCAGGGCCGACCCCTCTCCCGAGGCCGCTGAGTCCTCCTGTACCTGCCCAGCCCGGGAAGCGCCATGAGACAGCTGATAGCCAAGTTGATGAGTATCTTGGGGAACCGGGGTAAGGGACGCACAGAACATTCAAGCTAGCGCTTTGATCTCGCTCTCTTCTGGGACTCCTCTGATCTGGGGTCGGACGCACTGGGGGACCTCGGGCTCCAAGGGTCGTGTGTGGGCGCTCCTTGCCTGCCCGGCGGTCTTCCCTGTCCCCGTCCCCGCCTGCTCCTCTTGGGTTCCCGGGCTTCGGTGCGCCCCAGGACGCAGGGCTGGGCGAGCCTCCTTCCTTCCTGCTAAACGGCACCAGCGGCGGGGATGGGGAGCCGCTGCGGGTTTCCTGAGATGGTGACTTCACGTTCGGCTCTTTCTCCAGAAACTGTCTCTTGGCAAGCCCAGAGGCGCCCTGGACCTTTCAGACACTTTTCTTGAATGTGAAGGGAGGTGGGGGCTCAGCTTTTCTTTTTTTTTTTTTTTCCCACGGCCCCGGAGTGGCGCAGGCGTTCGGGCTGGGTGGGAGCAGACGCGGTACGGTGGCCAGCGGTCCCCAGCCTGCGGGGGGCGCTCTCTCCTTCCTGGGTGGTCTGGTGGGGGCACACAGCCCCTTGGTCATCCGGTTTGGCCCTGACGCTGCCCTTCCTCCGATGCTTCTAGAACACGAGGTTATCATCGTGGGACTGGACAATGCAGGAAAGACCACCATTCTCTATCGGTTGTAAGGGACTCTCGGGAGGCGAGGGTAGAGGGCTGGGCCTCCCACCAGACTGACAGGCGTGGGGACCAATCACTGGAGCTCTTCTCAGGGCTCCCGGGCTCCTCTGTAGTCCGGAGGAGTGACTGGAAACGCTTCTTGGATCTTCCTAACACAGCGGCTCCTCGGTCTGGCTTTCAAATCCTGCACCGCACGGGCAACCGTAGCCCCGACTGCTTTCCTCCATCTACTCGGGAACGCTGCCAAACTCAGCTCCAGGCCTGCCAAGTGTCCCAACCTGCCTCTCTGGGCTTCGCTCCCTCTAGCGTCAGGTTCCTCCTTTCTCACCCGGGCCCCCTCTGCCTGTTAACTTTCTTCCCCTTCTTCAAACCAAAGACTCATGAGGCCTGGTAGCTCCCGGTCTAGCAAGCCTGGCACATGTGGGTGGTGCTGAGTCAATGCCGATCGCAGCTTTCCCCGATATTCGCTCTCTGGATGGTGGTACCGCTCCCATTTTAGAGCCTCCAAAGTACTTTACTTAGGACAGGCTTTCTCATGAAAAAGTAATACAGGCAAATTATTTCAAAAATATATAAAGGAAAATTTCAAACAGTGGAGGAATACGTAGTGAAAAGTAAGTTTCCTTCTGCACTCTAGCCCCTAGTTTTCCTCCTATTGTAACTTTGCGGTAACTTTTCAGAAGCATTATTTGCATATAAAAGCATGTGTATGTTTTCTATGTCACTTTAAACAAAGCATGTCTCTGATGTCCCTCACTGTGTCTGTTTCATTTTTCTAAGCTCTTGCTTTTCAGAGTGTGGTCTGCAGACCAGTCACACAGGCATCATCTGAAAGCTTATTAGAAATGCAAAACTGTGGCCTGGCAAGGTGGGTCATGCCTGTAATCCCAGCACTTTGGGAGGCTGAGGCAGGCGGATCACCTGAGGTCAAGAGTTCGAGACCAGTCTGGCCAATATGGTGAAACCTCATCTCTACTGGAAAAAAAAAAAAAAAAAGGCCTGGTGCAGTGGCTCATGCCTGTAATCCCGGCTAATCGGGAGGCTGAGGAAGGAGAATTGCTTGAACCTGGGAGGTGGAGGTTGCAGTGAGCAGAGATTATACCACTGCATTCCAGCCTACGTGACAGGAGTGCGACTCCATCTTAAAAAATAAATAAAAATAATTAGCTGGACATGGTGGCAGGCTCCTGTAGTCCCAGCTACTTGTGGAGAGGCTGAGGCAGGAGAATCACTTGAACCCAGGAGGCAGAGGTTGCAGTGAGCTGAGATGGCGCCACTGCACTCCAGCCTGGGTGACAGAGGGAGGCTCCATCTTAAAATGCAAAACCGACCAGGCATGGTGACTTATGTCTGTAATCTCAGTACTTTGGGAGATCAAGACAGGAGGATCACTAGAGGTCAGGAGTCCGAGACTAGCCCATGAAATGGGGTTTCCAACATGACAAAACCCCATTTCTACAAAAATTAGCCATGTGTGGGGGCCATGCGCCTGTAATTCCAACCACTTGAGACGCTGAGGCAGGAGAATTGCTTGAACCTGGGAGGTGTGATGGTGCCTGCACTCCAGCCTGGGCAACAGAGTGAGACTGTCTCAAAAAGAAAGAAATGCAAAACCCTAGGCCCCAGCCCAGACTCTCTGGTCAGACCCTGCATTTTAACAAAATGACTCAACACCACCCACATGTGCCAGGCTTGCTAGATGATTTAACTGCATATTAAAGTTTAAGGAGGCTGGGTTCTGTGGCTCATGCCTGTAATCCCAGCACTTTGGGAGGCCAAGGCAGGAGGATCTCTTGGCAGGAGCCCAAGGCCAGGAGTTCAAGATTAGCCTGGGCAGCATAGTGATACCCCATTTCTATAAAAAGAAAAAAAAGATATAAAGTTTGAGGAGACTGCTCCAAGATGTTTCCCCTCTCTGGGGTCCCAGCCAGGGCAGGGCTTGGTCTCACTCCTGTCTTCATTCCCCAGGGCCCAGCCCAGGGCCTGGTCCCCAGCAGGTGCTCAGTGAACCTGGGTTGACTTGTTCTGAGTTCGATTCAGACTGCTTTGGGAGTAGAGCATTTGGGGGCCAGAGCTGGCCATAGGCTGGACTGAGCTCTTGGTGCCCTCTCCTACCTCCCTAGCCTGACCAATGAAGTGGTCCATGCGTGTCCCACTGCCGGCAGCAATGTGGAGGAGATCATTCCGCGGAAGACCCACTTCCTCATGTGGGACCTAGCAGGGCAGGAGGCTCTGCACTCCACTGGGATCACATATTACTCCAACACCGAGGTGAGGAGGGCACCAGGCTGGAGGGTCTCCAAGGCAGCTGCGTGATATCAGACAGTCACGTAACCTCTCTGAGTCTTGGTTCCCCAACTTGTGAGATAGAGATTATAATGATTGGCAGGGCGTGGTGGCTCACGCTTGTAATCCCAGCACTTTGGGAAGCTGAGGTGCGTGGATCACCTGAGGTCAGGAGTTTAAGAACAGCCTGGCCAGCATGGTGAAACCCCGTCTCTACAAAAATTCAAAAATTAGCCGGGCGTGGTGGCTCATGCCTGTAATCCCAGCTACTTGGGAGGCTGAGGGAGGAGAATCGCTTGAACTCGGGAGGCAGAGGTTGCAGTGAGCTGAGATCACACCACCACACTCCAGCCTGGGGGACAGAGCGAGACTTTGTCTCAAAAAACAAAACAAAACAAAACAAAAACAAAAAAACAAACCAAACAAAAATTAGCTGGATGTGGTGGCATGTGCCTGTAATCCTAGCTACTTGGGAGGCTGAGGTGGGAGAACTGCTTGAACCAGGGAGGCGGAAGTTGCAGTGAGCCGAGATTGCGCCACTGCGCTCCAGCCTGGGTGACAGAGTGAGACTCTGTCTCAAAAAAAAAAAAAAAAAAAAAAAAAAGACAATTATAACGGAAGCAGGATGGTGAGATCTTGAGCCTGCATGGTTTCTTTTCTCTGAAGCTGGTACAGAGACCAGTGGGGAAACACAGTGGGCAGAAACACATTTACCAAAGAGAAAAGCCCGTCTCTCATGCTACCCTCTGCTGTCCAGTTCAGCATCTTTGTGATTGATAGCACGGACCGGAATTGGCTGCTGATTGCTCGGGAGGAGTTACGTAAAATGCTGGCCCATAAGGTAAGCCCCCTGCAGTTGGGAGCCCAATGGTACTAGCTGTGTGCCCTCAGGCTGGTCACTTAGCCTCTCTGAGATTCATTACTGATGTCACAGATTTTGAGAGCTTCTACACCAGCAGCATGGGCAGGGCTGGTTTATGCCTGACGAAGGGCATCAGTGCCCTCAGTGCAATTGACTACAGAAGCCAGAGGTGCTGGTTCAAGTTCTAACCCCATCTGTCATTCATTGTGGGACTTTGGACAAGTGACTTCACCTCTCTAATCCTCAGTTTCCCCAAGTATAAAATGAGCCGGATCATCCATTCCCACCTATGGGATTGTCATAAAGAGGCTTTCCATGAGCTGCTGGTGTCATTTGATGTGGTTGCTACCACTTTGGCAGGGCTCCCCGTTTCTGCCCCATCTGGGCATGGCCTCTCTTGCTGGGACAGCTGGAGAGGGAGCCAGAGAAGACCTGTGAGGTAGTAGGAAGGCTGGGCCCTAGCAGGCTGCCTGGGGCTGGGCCCCTCTGTCCACAGGCTTCTGCGGGATGCTTCTGTCCTGATCTTTGCCAACAAGCAGGACGTGAAGGACTCCATGAGCCTGGTGGAGATCTCCCAGTTCCTTACTCTCAGCACCATCAAAGATCACTCGTGGCATATACGAGGCTGCTGTGCCCTCACTGGGGAAGGGTTAGTGACTGCCCCACCAGGACCTCCAGGGCCTGGCTGAGCCAGTGGATGACTGACCATCAGAATCCTCCTCCTGTCTCTCTCCTGTCAGCATCCCGCTCACAGTTGGCTCCTGGGCCAAGCCAACTGGGCATCTCCCCGCCGTTGAGACATTGTGGGTAAGCCACGAGCAGACAGCATCCCGGCTCTCAGGGGCTTGTTCTAGTGGAGAGAGAGATAACGCTCCACCTAAATGCAATACATACATATATATATATATTTTGAGATCAAGTGTTACTCTTGTCACCCAGGCTGGAGTGCAATGGCACGATCTCGGCTCACTGCAACCTCTATGTCCCACATTCAAGAGATTCTCCTGCCTCAGCCTCCCAAGTAGCTGGGATTACAGGCATCTGCCACCATGTCCGGCTAATTTTTATATTTTTAGTAGAGATGGGGTTTCACCTTATTGGCCAGGCTGGTCTCGAACTCCTGACCACAGGTAATCCACCAACCTCAGCCTCTCAAAGTGTTGAGATTACAGGCGTGAGCCACCACGCCTGGCTGCAATAATCTTAGGTTCTGAGAAGTGATGTGAAGAATCCCACTGGATGCCAGTAATACAGGGGAGAGGGATAGGTCTGATTTAGTTCTGGTAGTCAGGGCTGGCCTCTCCTAAGAGGTGACTTTTGAGCTGAGACCTGAATGAAGAGATGGAGACAGCCATGGGGAGACAGCCCTGGGGAAACCTGGGGGACAAGCCTTCCAGGCAAAAATCATTGACTTGCTCTGACCTTCAACTTCTTATCTGTAAGGAGGAGACTGCTGACTGCTCATCATACCTCCCAGAGTTTCTGTAAAGTAAATGACACAATTCAGTCCACAAATCTTTCTGGAGGTGCTCTCCTTTGTGCCAGGTACTGTTCTAGGCACTGGAGAGACAGCAGTGAGCAGAACAGACAAAAATCCCTGCCCTTATAGAGCTTACTTTCCAGTAGTGGAGGCAGATGATAAACAAGAAAAATATATAATCAGTTAGAAAATGATGGCCAGGCATGGCAGCTCACACCTGTAATCCCAGCACTTTGGGAAGCGGAGGTGAGTAGATGACCTGAGGTCAGGAGTTTGAGACCAGCCTGACCAACAGGGAGAAACCCCATCTCTACTAAAAATACAAAAATTAGCTGGGCGTGGTGGTGCATGCTTGTAATCCCAGCTACTTGGAAGGCTGAGGCAGGAGAATTGCTTGAACCCTGGAGGTGGAGGTTGCGGTGAGCCGAGATTGCACCATTGCACTCCATCCTGGGCAACAAGAATGAAACTCTGTCTCACAAAAAAAAAAAAAAAAAAAAAAAAAAAAAAAAAAAGAAAAAAAAAAAAGAAAGAAATAAAGAAAAAGAAAAGAAAATGATAAATGGCTTGGGCCCAGGAGTTTGAGAACAGCCTGGACAACAGAGTGAGACTCTGTCTTTATAACAAACAAACAAACAAACAAAAAAACCAAGAAGCCAGGTGTGGTGGCACATACCTGTAGTCCTAGCTACTCAGGAGGTTGAGGCAGGAGAATCACTTGAGCCCAGGAGTTCCAGGCTGCAGTGAGCTCTGATCATGTTGCTGCACTCCAGTCTGGGTGACAGAGCAAGATCCTGTCTTGATAAACGGTAAGAGGAATAAAGAGTAAGAAACAGAAATTGGGCCGGCATGGTAGTTCATGCCTGTAATTCTAGTGACTGGAGAGTCTGAGGCAGGAGGATAGCTTGAGGCCAGGAGTTGGAGTCCAGCCTGGGCAACGTATCCAGACCCCATTTCCAAAAGCAAAAACAAAGAAAAGGCAGATTGGAAGTGTGTGGAGGGAATGCTGCAATTGTAGGCAAGTTATCTGACAAAGGGCACTGAGCATGTAGCTACTGAATAATCACCTGAGGATTTGAAGCAACTGGGCCATGTAGAAAGTGCCTTACATCAGGCCTGGAAAATTCCCTTTCCTCTTATGTGTCAAGTAGAATCATGGCAGGCTGGGCACTCAGGTGTCTCTTTTTTTGAGGCAGGGTCTCAGTCCCCAGGCTGGAGTACAGTTGTGCAAACACGGCTCACCGAAGCTTCAACCTCCTGGGCTCAAGCGATCCTCCCACCTCAGCCCCCCTAATGGCTAGGACTACAGGTGCACGCCACTATGCCCAGCTAATTTTTGTCGAGACAAGGTTTGTCATGTTTCCCATGGCTGGTCTCAAACTCCTGGGCTCAAGCGATTCTCCTGCCTCAGTCTCCCAAAGTGTTGGGATAACAGGAATGAGGTACTGCGCCTTGCCCAGGCATCTTTTTGAAGAAGGGGAGACTCAGGCGAGTCAGTCCAAGGGACCACATATTTCTAGCAGTATTTTGCCACCCCTTGGGCCAGGAGAACCCTCTCCCACAACCCACAGTCAGTTCAATTAAATCAGCGTTTTCTTTCTTTCTCTCTCTCTTTTTCTTTTCTTTTCTTTTCTTTTTTTTTTGAGACAGAATTTTGCTCTTGTTGTCCAAGCTGGAGTGCAATGATGTGATCTTGGCTCACGGCAACCTCCTCCTGGGTTCAAGCGATTCCCCTGCTTCAGCTTCCCAAGTAGCTGGGATTACAGGCATGTGCCACCACGTCGGGCCAATTTTTGTATTTTTAGTGGAGACGAGGTTTCTCCCTGTTGGTCAGGCTGGTCTCAAACTCCCGACCTCAGGTGATCTGCTCGCCTTGACCTTCCAAAGTGCTGGCATTACAGGCCTGAGCCCCGACTCCCGGCCCATGTCTGCTTCTTCGCCACTAACTTCAGAGCCTCGAACAGCGCCTGATGCAAAGCAGGTAGTCAAGTTAGTTTGTCTCTGTTAATTGAATGACTGGATGTAACTTAGGTTCCTGCATCCACTCCGCTCTGGGTGCTGGGGACTTGAAGGCTGTCATTCTCTTGGTATATGCTGATTTTTCCTGTTCTTCCCTCCCTTCAGGCTGCAAGCCAGGCTCCAGTGGATCTCAGGCCATGGCTAACTGATGTCCCAGCCTGAAGCCAACCAGAAACTTTGGGGTTTTGCATGGCCCATATGGGTGGAAAACCAAGTGGCTATTTATCACTTTTCTATGGTTCTCTGGTGGGAGCAGCGGCTGCTACGGACAGTGGGATTGACACCATCCTCTCAACTCATTGCTGAGAAGCTGAACTGCATACCCTGGATTCCTGCAGACAGCACAGCAGAATAAGCTGCCCCTCACGCCATGGCCTCAGGCATCCTTTTTGGAGACATCAGGGAAATGCCACTGCAGAATTAGGAAGTGGAACCCTCTCCTCTCCTCAGCCCTCAGCGTCTCCATAGGAAAAATATGTGTGTGTTAGGAGGCCGATTAAGAGACCCCTGAGGCCAGGGGCAATGGCTCATGCCTGTAATCCCAGCACTTTGGGAGGCTGAGGTAGGCGGATCACTTGAGGTCAGGAGTTCGAGACCAGCCTGGCTAACACAGTGAAACCCCATCTCTACTAAAAATACCAAAAATTAGCAGGGCATGGTGGTACAGAGAACCGCTTGAACCTGGAGGCAGAGGCTGCAGTGAGCAGAGATATCACCACTGCACTTCAGCTTGGGCAATGAGAGTGAAACTCTGTCTCAAAAAAAAATAAAAAATAAAAAAATAAAAGAGACCCATGGAATTGCTCTTCATTTCCTCAAACACACCCGCACCGTTAGGCTTTTTGGCCCCTCAGCCATTTTTGTGCCATTCCCTTTGGGCAAAGGAGATTCCAGAAGGGTGAAGGAGGTACGCTTAGGAAGAGGAGGGCAGAGGCAAAAACTGGAAGGGAAAACCGAGGAGGACAGGACGTCCCAGAGAGGGACAGCCCTTTGCACTGCAGGGATTCCACTCTCATCTTCCCATTCCCCCTGGGGTGCTGGCTTTGGTCACAGCTCTTGGACTTTCAGCCACTCCATAGCATCCCCCTCACTTCTAGCGTCCTTCCAGTGTGAATCTCACTTCTTCCAAATATGCCAGATTCCTACAGGGGCTGCTTGTTTTGTTTCTTCGTGTAATGATTTTAAAAAATTGTATTGGGGTTTTTATAAAGCTGTAATACAAGATATTTTCTCAAGACACAAAAAAGAAAAATAAAAAAAGCTGTAATAAATGCTTCTGAAGACCGGGCGCGGTGGCTCAAGCCTGTAATCCCAGCACTTTGGGAGTCCGAGGCGGGTGGATCACGAGGTCGAGAGATCGAGACCATCCCGGTCAACGTGGTGAAACCCCGACTCTACTAAAAATACAAAACATTAGCTGGGCGTGGTGGCGCGTGCCTGTAATCCCAGCTACTCAGGAGGCTGCGGCAGGAGAATTGCCTGAACCCAGGAGGCGGAGGTTGCGGTGAGCCGAGATCGCGCCATTGCACTCCAGCCTGGGTAACAAGAGCGAAACTCCGTCTCAAAAAAAAAGAAAAAAAAAAAAATGCTTCTGAAAACTGCTCACCTCTTAGTTCTGCCTTCTCTGCCTGTTCCTCAAACCGGCTTTTGATCTGAGAGAAGGGGAGAAGCTATCCTGGGGCTGGAAAAGCCCAGGAAACAAGATGGCGATGCGGTCTCTTCATCTGTATATCGCTAGATCTGGGACGGTCCTGGGAACAGTCCTTTTCCCAAACCAGTCAGTGGACATCTGGGGAGAGTCTGGGCATAGATGTAGAGGACCCAGGATTCCTTAATCTAGTGGTTGTTTCCTAAAGCGTGACTATGGAGGAAAAACTCAGGAGTTCTAGCCATTCCCACTGTATTTTGTGCTTTAAAAAATCGGTATCTTGAAGCAACCCTCAGATTAAAACTTTAAGGAAAAGTGGGCTGGGCACGGTGGCTCACGTCTGTAATCCCAGCACTTTGGGAGGCCGAGGTGGGTGGATCACTTGAGGCCAGGAGTTCGAGATCAGCCTGGCCAACATGAAGAAACTCCGTCTCTACTAAAGCACAAAAAATTACCCGGGCATAGCAGCTGGTGCCTGTAATCCCATCTACTCAGGAGGCTGAGGCAGGAATATTGCTTGAACCTGGGAGGCGGAGGTTGCGGTGAGCCGAGATCGCACCACTGCACTCCAGCCTGGGCAACAAGAGCAAAACTCTGTCTCTAAAAATAAAAATGAAAATAGCGCCGGGCGCGGTGGCTCAAGCCTGTAATCCCAGCACTTTGGGAGGCCGAGGCGGGTGGATCACGAGGTCGAGAGATCGAGACCAACCTGGTTAACATGGTGAAACCCCGTCTCTACTAAAAATACAAAAAATTAGCTGGGCATGGTGGCGCGTGCCTGTAATCCCAGCTACTCAGGAGGCTGAGGCAGGAGAATTGCCTGAACCCAGGAGGCGGAGGTTGCGGTGAGCCGAGATCGCGCCATTGCACTCCAGTCTGGGTAACAAGAGCGAAACTCCGTCTCAAAAAAAAAAAAAAAAAAAAAATGAAAATAGCAAAAGGGAGGCTGAATACCACACCCGTATCCCACAGAAACTTAACGTTAATAGTATGGCGTGATGGGGGGAGAGCTCGGTGGTAGAGCATTTGACTGCAGATCAAGAGGTCCCCGGTTCAAATTTGGGTGCCCCCTCTGCTCTCTGGAGTTATCGCGTTTTGTTAGACTCCGGAGGTCCCGTAAAGAATTCCGCACAGATAGAATGGGAAGGAGTCGCAGGCCCTGCCACCCTCTTTTCCTTTGCAGGCGAGTGAGAACGGAGTCCTGGCCCCTACCAGTGGCTCAGCCTGTGTGTATATCCGAGAGTGGAATGCAGTGCGAGTGAGAGCGAGGAGCTCCGGGCTGACCCTTGGAACACGGTGCGGGTGGTCCAACCTCGCAATGGCAGGGCGGAGGCGGCGCACCCCCAGGCCGGCCTGGCCAGTGACCGCGACGGCTCTTCCATCGCGGGAGGGAGGCTGAGTTTCTTTTTTCTTTTTTCTTTTTTTTTTTTGAGACGGAGTTTCGCTCTTGTTACCCAGGCTGGAGTGCAATGGCGCGATCTCGGCTCACCACAACCTCTCGAGTTTCTAAGGGCTGGGCTGGGGAAGACAGGCCCAGAGAAGCCGCGTTAGCACGTGGGAGGGAGAAAGAAGCTCCAAGACGTGGCAAGGGGGTTCCTGCAGGGCAGGAGAGTGGGACGCCCCGAAGTGAGATTTCGAGACTTCTTTCACACCCCAGGAATACATTTTCTTGCACCATCAGTGGTAATCTTCAGCTCAGAGCTTCAGGAAACAATCCCTGATTCCAAGCGAGTGACTTTTCTGGGAGTTGTATTTTTTCCATCTCTCGTAAACGTCCCACCCAACTTTCCACTTCCCTTCGGGAGCAGCATACCGCGCCTGCGCAGCAATAACACTAAGGGACTGCCTGCGTTGAGTTGCCGACAGAGGGGGTATAGCTCAGTGGTAGAGCATTTGACTGCAGATCAAGAGGTCCCCGGTTCAAATCCGGGTGCCCCCTTGGCTAGGTATTTTTCAAGATCCTAAGCTTTTTGTCTCGGGTGTCGGTTTTTCCTAAACTGTTTGCTTTTCCTCCTAGTGGCAGACGAGGAGCAGTGAGGGACTGCAAGGAACTGGGGATTTAACAACAATGGCTCTCAAAATGTGGTCCTGGGACCAGCAGAATCACCTGGGTACGCTCGGGCCTCATCCCCGACCTAGGGAATTAGAAACTTGAGGGTGGAGTCCAGAAATCTGTTTTCATATACCCTCCCTATCGCTTGAGTCCAGGAGTTGGAAGCTGCAGTGAGCTATGATCGCGTCACTGCACTCTAGCCTAGGCAACGTTCGAGAACCTGTCTCAAAAAACAAACAAAATACACACACACACACACCCCCTCCAGGTGATTACGATCTCAAGTTCTAGAGGCTTACATTAAAGTTTACACGTTTGTTTCTACTATTTCCAAGTTTTTGTTTCACCCTGAGCTCTTCTTGTAAGATACTTTATAAGACGGACCACGAATTACCCCAGATGGAGCAATGTGTAAAGACACCGGGGTCGGAGCTGGAATCCGTCCTGGGACCTTTCACCTTGACCTCGGAGGTCGGGGCAAGGCGTGGGCAGGCCTTGGAAAGAGGAAACCCGCAGGACGAGGGGGTTGTGGCTCATCACGTGGCCACTTGAGGGCAGCAAGAAGCCGCAGCTGGAGGCGGCTGCCTGTCTGATCCTGTTTGAGAGTCCGCCAAATTGAGATTTAAATTAGACATCAAGAAGAACTTACAGACCGGCCTTGCCTTGTTCCATGGTAAGGGGACTTTGCGTTTAGGGCTGGAGGAGGTCGTCCCTGGGACTCTGGGTTCGGCGGAAGGAGGAACCCGCGTTCTAGGAAATTAGAGAGACTTTGTTTCCTTTCTTAGGTCTTTTTTTTTTTTTTGACCTCACTGTCACGGAATCCGCCTCTTCCAGCCTCACAGATCCCTCCTGTCCCCAGTCATATCCATCCTCCTGGGGAATGTCTCAAACGGCGCTCAGCGTTCGCGCCTTCCTCTCCGCGGTTTTCTAGTCCCTAGGCCCACTAGAAGCCAGGGTGCCCCCTCACCCCGTCTCCCACTCCATCCAGCGCCCCATCTCCTTGCCGTCACAAGAACGAAGTAGGTCAGGGGAGGGAAGAGGTGCCTCCGTGTCCTGACCTGATTCCTTGCCGTCTATTAAATCTACATTGCTGGTATTTTTATTCTGTCCTGGAAGGAAAAAAAAAAAAAAAAAAAAAAAGATGATCTATCCCCAGAGCCTGTTAGAAGGTGGCGGCAAGTGGGGTGAGCCGTTTCCCGGTCTGGGGCTTGCTCTGAGGATTGATTGGGTCTGGCTTTGAGCCAGCCTGGCCCCAGAGAGGCGGGCGGCCTGGGCTACCTACTCGTGGGGAGGGGTCCAGGCCGTTGCAGAGTAGGGGTTAGCCAGGGCCCCTGCACCCTCATGTCTGCTAGGCCAGGGGTCAAACCGGTGCTGGAAATGGGGGGTAGAGGGATAAGGTGGAGTCATGGGAGGGGTTGGGATTCGGGCCCCTCTTGGGGAGAGATGCTGGGGGTCTGTGCTGCAGGGGGAGATTCCTGGGGGTGGGGGGATGCAGGACAAAGCTTCAGAGACGCACAGAATTCCGAAGAACAATGTCTCAGAGCTTGAAGGCGCTGGGGGCAGGGGACAGGCAGGGGCCCGTGGCCCAGGGAAAAGGCGCCTGTCCCTTCCAGGGGTCCAATCCCTCGGGCCTTCTCTCTGCAGCTTTCCCCAGCGGAACAGCGCAGGAAAAGGGAGCCAGGAGCTCAATACGGCGCCCAGGGGGACTGACGCTTCTAGGGGTTCTCCCAGCCCGAGGGGCTCCCTCCCTGTCCCCTACTCTGCGCCCCTCGCCTTGGGAGCGGCTGCGGGAGCTCTCGGGGAGCGCTCGGGGAGAGCTGAGGGTAGGCGCGGGGAGAGCCCCCCACGACGCCGCGCCCCCCGCC